AGTGAAACAACTGATATACAAACATCTGACTTTAAGTACATACTCGTAAAGGAGTATATATATAAATATATATATATAATTATATATATATATATAAAATATATATATATATATATATATATATATATATAAATATATATATATATATATAGTTGAAAGTGTATAAACTAAGGGAGAGGAAGTTCGGGCGAGATATAAGCGACTATTGGCAGAAAGGTGGGCTAGTGCAAAGATGAGTAGTGGGGGGGTTGAAGAGGGTTGGAATAGTTTTAAAAATACAGTGTTAAATGTGGGGCAGAAGTTTGTGGTTATAGGAGGGTGGGGGCAGGAGGAAAGAGGAGTGATTGGTGGAATGATGAAGTAAAGGGTGTGATAACAAAAAAAAGGTAGCTTACGAGAGGTTTTTACAAAGCAGAAGTGTTATAAGAGAGCAGAGTATATGGAGAGTAAAAGAAAGGTGAAGAGAGTGGTGAGAGAGTGCAAAAGGAGAGCAGATGAAAGAGTGGGAGAGGCACTGTCAAGAAATTTTAAAAGAAAAAAAGAAAAAATTTGGAGTTAAACAAGTTAAGAAAGCCTAGGGAAAAGTATGGATTTGTCAGTTAAAAACAGAGTAGGGGAGTTAGTAGATGGGGAGAGGGAGGTATTAGGTAGATGGCGAGAATATTTTGAGGAACTTTTAAATGTTAAGGAAGAAAGGAGGCGGTAATTTCATGCACTGGCCAGGGAGGTATACCATCTTTAGGAGTGAAGAAGAGCAGAATGTAAGTGTGGTGGAGGTACGTGAGGCATTATGTAGAATGAAAGGGGGTAAAGCAGCTGGAACTGATGGGACCATGACAGAAATGTTTAAAAGCAGGGGGGGATATAGTGTTGGAGTGGTTGGTACTTTTGTTTAATAAATGTATGAAAGAGGGGAAGGTACCTAGGGATTGGCAGAGAGCATGTATAGTCCCTTTATATAAAGGGAAAGGGGGCAAAAGAGATTGTAAAAAATTATAGAGGAATAAGTTTACTGAGTATACCAGGAAAAGTAATACGGTAGAGTTATAATTGAAAGAATTAGAGGTAAGACAGAATGTAGGATTGCGGATGAGCAGGGAGGCTTCAGAGTGGGTAGGGATGTGTAGATCAAGTGTTTTACATTGAAGCATATATGTGAACAGTATTTAGATAAAGATAGGGAAGTTTTTATTGCATTTATGGATTTAGAAAAGGCATATGATAGAGTGGATAGAGGAGCAATGTGGCAGATGTTGCAAGCATATGGAATAGGTGGTAAGTTACTAAATGCTGTAAAGAGCTTTTATGAGGATAGTGAGGCTCAGTTTAGGGTATGTAGAAGAGAGGGAGAATACTTCCCGGTAAAAGTAGGTCTTAGACAGGGATGTGTAATGTCACCATGGTTGTTTAATATATTTATAGATGGGGTTGTAAAAGAAGTAAATGCTAGGGTGTTCGGGAGAGGGGTGGGATTAAATTATGGGGAATCAAATTCAAAATGGGAAGTGACACAGTTACTTTTTGCTGATGATACTGTGCTTATGGGAGATTCTAAAGAAAAATTGCAAAGGTTAGTGGATGAGTTTGAGAATGTGTGTAAAGGTAGAAAGTTGAAAGTGAACATAGAAAAGAGTAAGGTGATGAGGGTATCAAATGATTTAGATAAAGAAAAATTGGATATCAAAGTGGGGAGGAGGAGTATGGAAGAAGTGAATGTTTTCAGATACTTGGGAGTTGACGTGTCGGAGGATGGATTTATGAAGGATGAGGTTAATCATAGAATTGATGAGGGAAAAAAGGTGAGTGGTGCGTCGAGGTATATGTGGAGTCAAAAAACGTTATCTATGGAGGCAAAGAAGGGAATGTATGAAAGTATAATAGTACCAACACTCTTATATGGGTGTGAAGCTTGGGTGGTAAATGCAGCAGCGAGGAGACGGTTGGAGGCAGTGGAGATGTCCTGTTTAAGGGCAATGTGTGGTGTAAATATTATGCAGAAAATTCGGAGTGTGGAAATTAGGAGAAGGTGTAGAGTTAATAAAAACATTAGTCAGAGGGCAGAAGAGGGGTTGTTGAGGTGGTTTGGTCATTTAGAGAGAATGGATCAAAGTAGAATGACATGGAAAGCATATAAATCTATAGGGGAAGGAAAGAGGGGTAGGGGTCGTCCTCAAAGGGTTGGAAAGAGGGGGTAAAGGAGGTTTTGTGGGCGAGGGGCTTGGACTTCCAGCAAGCGTGCATGAGCGTGTTAGATAGGAGTGAATGGAGGCAAATGATACTTGGGACCTGATGATCGGTTGGAGTGTGAGCAGGGTAATATTTAGTGAAGGGATTCAGGGAAACCGGTTATTTTCATATAGTCGGACTTGAGTCCTGGAAATGGGAAGTACAATGCCTGCACTTTAAAGGAGGGGTTTGGGATATTGGCAGTTTGGAGGGATATGTTATGTATCTTTATACGTATATGCTTCTAAACTGTTGTATTCTGAGCACCTCTGCAAAAGCAGTGATAATGTGTGAGTGTGGTGAAAGTGTTGAATGATGATGAAAGTATTTTCTTTTGGGGATTTTCTTTCTTTTTTGGGTCACCCTGCCTCGGTGGGAGACGACCGACTTGTTGAATATATATATATATATATATATAATATATATATATATATATATAATATAATATATATATATTATATATATATATATTATATTATATATATATATATATATATAATATATATATATACGGCGCACAAATCCAGACAACTAATCCGTCTTCACCAGAGATTACATCTGCCCTTCCCATCTTCTTAATCCTCTTTGGTGAGTGAATCTTGCTCTATTTCTCTCTGTCCCTCTCTCTCTCTCTTCTCTTCTCCTCTCTCTCTCTCTCTCTCTCTCTCTCTCTCTCTCTCTCTCTCTCTCTCTCTCTCTCTCTCTCTCTCTCTTTCTCTCTCTCTCTCTTCTGTCTCTCTCTCACACACACAAAAGCACACTGGAGTTGACAGACACTTTGGATTGACAGCTGTCACTACCAAGAAGCACTCCAACAGCTATTGTAACCCCTGCAATCATCACCTACAGTCTTCCAAGAAACACAAAGTTTCTCTTGTTGACTTCTTAGATATCCTTGACTTCTCTCTTTTTGAAGTTTACCAAACGTCTCCTTGAAGTGCCTTGGTGCTGCTGAAGTGCTCTCGATCCCAGGAACTCAGAGTTCCCTCCTCTTCCTCTGATACAGACTGATTACTTCTCATTCACCAGGTGATTTATAACCCTTACGAATTTAGCGTTTCCCCCGATAATAATTTATACAAATAATATTAACAACAATAAGAATAATAATAATAATAATAATAATAATAATTATAATAATAATAATAATTTAATAATAATAATAATAATTTAATATATTATTATTATTATTATTATTATTATTATTATAATTATTATTATTATTATTATTATTTTTATTATTAATAAATTATTATTATTATTATAATTAAATTTTTATTATTATAATAATAATATCATTTATAATAATAAAAATTTTTAATAATAATAAAATAATAATAATAATAATAATATATGGGAGATTATATAGCTGGAGAGGTAGAGTATGTCAGTGTGTACTGAAAGTCACTTTATATTCACTGGGAATTTCTGTCTTATAGGGGTTAAAATATTGTTGATGTGAGTGTACTGGTGACTATCAGCCTTAATGACTCCTCGTGCTGCTGATAGCTTTCAAACCTAACTAACTAACATCCCAGACACTGAGAGCCTGATATCATTTTAGAAGTGCCAAGACTGGCATCATTTTAGAAGTGCCAAGACTGACATCATCTTTGAAGTGCCAAGGCTGACATCATCTTGGAAGTGCCAAGATTGACATCATCTTAGAGTTGCCAAGACTGACATCATTTTAAAAGTGCCAAGACTGACATCATCTTGGAAGTACCAAGACTGACATCATTTTAGAAGTACCAAGACTGACATCATTTTAGAAGTGCTAAGACTAACATCATCTTTGAAGTGCCAAGACTGACATCATTTTAGAAGTGCCAAGACTGAATAATCTTAGAAGTGCCAAGACTGACATCGTATTAGAAGTGCCAAGGCTGACATCATCTTAGAAATGTCAAGACTGACGTCATCTTAGAAATGTTAACACTGACACCATCTTGCTTCGACGCTGACATTGCTGACATCGTATTGGCAGTAAATTCCTTGAACATCAAAACTACCAACATCTCACTGACAAAGATCAACGTTAACATCAAGACATCTTAACATCAAGACTGCTAACATCAAGGCTGCCAGCATCCCCCTGGCAACATCTTCCCAAAACCTCGTTATTGCTAAGCCCCTTCCATCCACCTTCCCCCTCCCCATCCCTTTACCACCTCCCCATCCCTTTACCACCTCCCCGTCCCTTTACCCCCCCTCAACCCCCTCCCTAAGACAACGAGCACCATTAACACCATAACATCCCCATAATAAGAGGAAAATGAGTCGAGGGTTGCTCCAGGGAATTACCCTTCTCACGTTCCTGGTATCATTCTGAAGATTTTTTTGAGACGTTCTTCCTCCCCCCTGAGAACGTTCCCAGCATCCATCTTTCTCCTGGTACCACAGATGGATGCTGGGTGGTAAGAGCCGCACTGTCAGGGGTAAATGAATGTAGATACTAGTGAATTTGTGATTCAGTGAGACACACGGGGTCGACCAGTGCTAGCACACAGGGTCGACCAGTGCTAGCACACAGGGTCCACCAGTGCTAGCACACAGGGTCGACCAGTGCTAGCACACAGGGTAAACCAGTGCTATCACACAGGATCGACCAGTGCTAGCACACAGGGTCGAACAGTGCTAGCACACAGGGTCGTGGAGTGCTAGCACACAGAGTCGACCAGTGCTAGCACACAGGGTCGATCAGTGCTAGCACACAGGGTCGACCAGTGCTAGCACACAGGGTAAACCAGTGCTATCACACAGGATCGACCAGTGCTAGCACACAGGGTCGACCAGTGCTAGCACACAGGGTCGTGGAGTGCTAGCACACAGAGTCGACCAGTGCTAGCACACAGGGTCGACCAGTGCTAGCACACAGGGTCGACCAGTGCTAGCACACAGGGTCGACCAGTGCTAGCACACAGGCTCGACCAGTGCTGGAACACAGGGTCGACCAGTGCTAGCACACAGGGTCGATCAGTGCTAGCACACAGGGTCGACTAGTGCTGGAACACAGGGTCGACCAGTGCTAGCACACGGGGTCGACCAGTGCTAGCACACATGGTCAACCAGTGCTAGCACACAGGGTCGACCATGCTAGCACACAGGGTCGACCAGTGCTAGCACACAGGGGTCGACCAGTGCTAGCACACAGGGTCGACCAGTGCTAGCACACGGGGTCGACCAGTGCTAGCACACATGGTCAACCAGTGCTAGCACACAGGGTCGACCAGTGCTAGCACACGGGGTCGACCAGTGCTAGCACACCCTGGTCAACCAGTGCTAGCACACAGGGTTTGACCAGTGCTGGCACACAGGGTCGACCAGTGCTAGCACACAGGGTCGACCAGTGCTAGCACACAGGGTCGACCAGTGCTAGCACACAGGGTCGACCAGTGCTAGCACACAGGGTCGACCAGTGCTAGCACACGGGGTCCGACCAGTGCTAGCACACAGGGTCGACCAGTACTAGCACCACAGGGTCGACCAGTGCTAGCACACAGGGTCGACCAGTGCTAGCACACAGGGTCGACCAGTGCTAGCACACATGGTCAACCAGTGCTAGCACACAGGGTCGACCAGTGCTGGAACACAGGGTCGACCAGTGCTAGCACACGGGGTCGACCAGTGCTAGCACACATGGTCAACCAGTGCTAGCACACAGGGTCGACCAGTGCTAGCACACAGGGTCGACCAGTGCTAGCACACAGGGTCGACCCCGTGCTAGCACACAGGGTCGACCAGTGCTAGCACACAGGGTCGACCAGTGCTACACACGGGTAAACCAGTGCTAGCACACATGGTCAACCAGTGCTAGCACACAGGGTCGACCAGTGCTAGCACACGGGGTCGAAACCCGTGCTAGCACACATGGTCAACCAGTGCTAGCACACAGGGTCGACCAGTGCTGGCACACAGGGTCGACCAGTGCTAGCACACAGGGTCGACCAGTGCTAGCACACAGGGTCGACCAGTGCTAGCACACAGGGTCGACCAGTGCTAGCACACAGGGTCGACCAGTGCTAGCACACGGGGTCGACCAGTGCTAGCACACAGGGTCGACCAGTGCTAGCACACAGGGTCGACCAGTGCTAGCACACAGGTCGACCAGTGCTAGCACACAGGGTCGACCAGTGCTAGCACTCCCGGGTCGACCAGTGCTAGCACACAGAGGGCGACCAGTGCTAGCACACAGGGTCGACCAGTGCTAGCACACAGGGTCGACCAGTGCTAGCACACAGGGTCGACCAGTGCTAGCACACAGGGTCGACCAGTGCTAGCACACAGGGTCGACCAGTGCTAGCACACGGGTCGACCAGTGCTAGCACACAGGGTCGACCAGTGCTAGCACACAGGGTCGACCAGTGCTAGCACACAGGGTCGACCAGTGCTAGCACACAGGGTCGACCAGTGCTAGCACACGGGGTCGACCAGTGCTAGCACACAGGGTCGACCAGTGCTAGCACACAGGGTCGACCAGTGCTAGCACACAGGGTCGACCAGTGCTAGCACACAGGGTCGACCAGTGCTAGCACTCAGGGTCGACCAGTGCTAGCACACAGAGTCGACCAGTGCTTAGCACACCGGGTCGACCAGTGCTAGCACACAGGGTCGACCAGTGCTAGCACACAGGGTCGACCAGTGCTAGCACACAGGGTCGACCAGTGCTAGCACACAGGGTCATCTGATAAATTGGAACCAAGATCAGTTTATACCTACTATATCTAAGCTTGGAAAGCTTAATATGGACACATCGCCAATCATCATCATCAGTCATCACTATCGTCATCATCAGTTATCACTATAATCATCATTAATATTGTTCTTCCATCTATTATTTTATCACTTTTCCCTCAGCCATTCTCTGCTATTTTTATTCTCTAATTCAATCTCTTACCCTCACCTTCTTATTATCTCTCTCTCTCTCTCTCTCTCACTACTCCCACTTAGGGTAGTAAAAAATTACAGTTAAACAAACATTTCTACTTAATGTAACATTTCGAAACCAAAATGTTACATTAACAAATGTAAAGAGTACGAGTGTAAACGAGAGTATCTACTGAGAAAGAGAACGGACTGTACACGAGAGACAGGTTGCAACACAGACCTACCGTTTTGTTGCCAATGTTCTTGACTCTGCAGTTGAGAACCGCTGTTTTACCCAGGAGAGCCGTCACGTTGGATGACTCGTGGTAGTCGAAGTAAGGTTGGTCAGGGTCGTGGAAGCGGACATCGGTGTACTTCAAGGCTTGAGGGTCGTGAACTGAGGCCTCCATGTTCCACAGGGCATTGTCGTCATGATGATGGCTGTCTACGTATCCGAGAGATACAGGGCCACGGTCTGAGGTCACCCTCAGCTTCTCTGTGAGTGGGCCTCCTGCTGTCACTGGGCTTCCTTCCACCACCATCTCCTTGTGGTCTTGTACTTCCAGAGTCTCTGGACTGCCCTCCATCGCCACACCTTGTTGGTCTGGGACCTCCGGAGAACCTGTGCTGCCTTCCTCTGCCATCACTCCCTGCCTCACTGGCTGGTTCGTCTCTCCCACTGACAATACTTCTGAAAGAATCTTACTTGTGCTGCAAGGTGACGAGACACAGGCACACACGTATCCGATAATACAGTGTGTGCCTGTGATGAGGTGTGGTCAACCAACCACACATCAGCTACGCCAACCACACATCAGCTACGCCAACCACACATCAGCTACGCCAACCACACATCAGCTACATCAACCACATCTCAGCTACGCCAACCACACTTTACCTACTCCTTCCGTTGTGTTTATCGTAGCAATGCACGCCTCTGGTGGGCCCCACACCAACTACAATTGAACCATGTGTCAAAAAATCTATCCCCAGGTGAGCGCTTTGTACAAGCAAAAATTTATGTATCTTAAATAAGAATTATTGTATGTTTGGAAAAGTTCAGTTTTACGACTCTTGTCCACAAGTGGATATTAACATTATGGAATACTATCCAAATTATACCTTCTAAGCCAAAAATTACGTCCTAGAAATAAGAAATGTATGTTTAAAGTGTTTTCTTATTAGGTTACATCCAGAGACAATAACTATGGCAATACTGTAAACAACATCATCCCACAGTCAATAATATACCAAGGTTAATTATAATTAATTACCTCTATATGATTATATACATATTAATTACGACTCAACAACACAAACAACCCAACTACTACACATTCCTGAATCAATGAACGGAAACATCCGCACTACACAATACAACTACATCACACTAACATTCAAATGAACCAATCAGGTTTAAAAATTGGAATGCTCATTCAAAAATTTATAATTTCAAACTATTAATAATAACTTAGGATAATATTAAACATTTGAAATATTCCTGTGATGTTATAGAGGAAACATGTGTGTTGTATATTGTTGAGTGATCGTCTGTTTTACATTTATGAGAAGTTCGATCCAAATTACTCAACTCGGAGCAGCAAATATGCAAACTTTAAAGAATCAGATTATCTTGAGCCAACTCTATCTGAGAAATTTATAAAGTTTATATTATTAAGATAATAACTCTTCTCCACTTGTTGTTTCTTTCTATGCAGCTATTTCCTTAAATTGTAAGTCCCTTACATAATCACCGAGAATGCAGCAATCTCCAGCACCTTATGAACATTGTAGTTACATTTCACTTCTTGCTAGGATTGTGTTTGTTTTATGTCTAGTGAATATGAATTCTGTCTTCTCTCTTTCGTGTGCTTGTCTTTACCACCTATATAGTTAATCTCAGTCAATCTAGCCCGGAGAGAAGTCATTGGCTACTAGTAATCTCACTTAAGATAGATTTAATCACAGTGTCTTAGCTATGTATGGATCCTGCTGTGTGTGTGCAATGATGTTGTTAGTGATTCGTGTGTGTGTGGATTGTGTGTGTGTGTGTGTGTGTGTGTGTGGTTGTGTGTGTGTGTGTGTGTGTGTGTGTGTGTGTGTGTGTGTGTGTGTGTGTGTGTGTGTGTGTGTTGTGTGTGTGGTCAGACAACAAACAGATAGACGACAAACAAACGACACGACACACCACAACAATGATGACCCGAGTACGAACCATGATCGAACCACACACACGACACACACTACACACACCACACACACACACACACAACACATCATGACACGATCTAATAGTTGAGCAAGGTTATGATAAAGCTAGGATGAAGTCCGGATCGGAAAGTGACCTAGTAGCGACCAGTGAAGAGGCGGGGCCAGGAGCTAGAACTCGACCCCTGCAACCTCAACTAGGTGAGTACACACAGACAGACAGAGACACCACACAGACCTTGAGTCACAGATCTGTTTTCACACAGACAAAAATTATTCCACTGTACTGGAAACAAGACAAAGATTTCTCACAAACACGCACAGATACAGCCAGACACTCACAGACACAGTCAGTCACTCACAGACACAACCAGACACTCACAGACACAACCAGACACTCACAGACACAACCAGACACTCACAGGCACAGTCAGACACTCACAGACGCAACCAGACACTCACAGACACAACCAGACATTCACAGACACAATCAGACACACACAGACACAGTCAGACACTCACAGACACAACCAGACACTCACAGGCATAGTCAGACACTCACAGACGCAACCAGACACTCACAGACACAGTCAGACACTCACAGACACAACCAGACACACACAGGCACAGTCAGTCACTCACAGACACAACCAGACACTCACGACACAGTAAGACACTCACAGACACAACCAGACATTCACAGACACAACAGACATTCCCAGACACAACCAGACACTCACAGACACAACCAGGCACACAGACACAGTCAGACACTCACAGAAATAACCAGACACTCACAGACACAGTCAGACACTCACATACACAACCAGACATTCACAGACACAACCAGAGCACACAGACACTCACAGACACAACCAGACATTCACAGACACAACCAGACACTCAAAGACACAGTCAGACGCTCACAGACACAGCCAGACACTCACAGACACAACCAGACATTCACAGACACAACCAGACATTCACAGACACAACCAGACACTCAAAGACACAGTCAGACGCTCACAGACACAGCCAGACACTCACAGACAGACACAGCCACATACATGTTCTTCCCTTATACTTACTGTGTCATATCCAGCGACGGGTCCACATTTTTCTTACAGTTACGCAGCTTCAGGTGTGGGTGAACAAAAGTGAATCCACAGTTTCGTGGTTTTTGAAAGTCAAGGAAGAGTTAAACGATCTTGTAAGTGAAGTTAGGTTTCAGTTACTGTTTGAAGCCCTGTTACTGTGTCATGGTAAGTAATGTGTAGTTAATTATTATTATTATTATTATTATTATTATTATTATTATTATTATTATTATTATTATTATTATTATTATTATTATTATTATTATTATTATTATTATTAACTAACTTCGGACAAGAACAGTTGTTATTCACTGTACTTAGTTCGGTATTCCCTGTAATTACTGCATTATTCACTGTGTTGTTCACTGTGTTATTCACTGTATTCAGTGCACTATTTACTGTGATATTTACGATATTCATTGAATTATTCACTGTTATTAATTGCACTGTTATTCACTGCGTGATATTTATGGTTGAGGTTTGACTACTAGCGGAAGGTCAGTTTGTTGGTGGTGTGATGACGTCGTGGTGGAGATTGATGATTGATGAATAATATTCAATTTGACTCCTGGAAGAATTATTTATGATTACTTTCAACTGAGATTTGTGGCTCTGAGCACTGCGGTGTCACTGGCACTGCATCAAGAGTGATACTGGCACTGCATCAAGAGTGATATTGGCACTGCATCAAGAGTGTACTGGTACTGCATCAAGAGTGATACTGGCACTGCATCAAGAGTGATACTTTGGTACTGCATCAAGAGTGATTTGGTACTGCATCAAGAGTGATACTGGCACTGCATCAAGAGTGATATTGGCACTGCATCAAGAGTGATACTGGTACTGCATCAAGAGTGATACTGGCACTGCATCAAGAGTGATACTGGCACTGCATCAAGAGTGATACTGGCACTGCATCAAGAGTGTATGGCACTGCATCAAGAGTGATTTCTGGTACTGCATCAAGAGTGATTACTGGCACTGCATCAAGAGTGATACTGGTACTGCATCAAGAGTGATACTGGCACTGCATCAAGGGTGACACTGGCACTGCATCAAGAGTGATACTGGTACTGCATCAAGAGTGATACTGGCACTGCATCAAGGGTGATACTGGCACTGCATCAAGGGTGACACTGGCACTGCATCAAGGGTGATACTGGCACTGCATCAAGGATGACACTGGCATTTCATCAAGGGTAACACTGGCACTGCATCAAGGGTGACACTGGCACTGCATCAAGAATGGCACTGGCACTGCATCAATGATACAACTGGGACTGCGTCAAGAGTGCCACTGGCACTACATCATGGGTGACACTTGCACTGTATCAAGGATGACACTGGCACTGTATCAAGGATGACACTAGCACTGCATCAAGGGTGACACTGGCACTGCATCAAGGGTGACACTGGTACTGCATCAAGGATGACACTGACACTGCATCAAGAATGACACTGGCACTGCATTAAGAATAACACTGGCACTGCATCAAGGGTTACACTGGCACTGCATCAGAGATGACAGTAGCACTGCATCAGAGGATGACACTGGCACTGCATCAGACACTGGCATTGCATCGGACACTGGCACTGCATCGGATACTGGCACTGCATCAAGAGTGACATTGGCACTGCATCGGACACTGGCACTGCCCGCCCACTGGAAACTAGCAGTGACTGCCCAGGATGGATGGACTGACCAGAGGATGGTTCAGATTGATGAAACGAGCGGAGAGTGACAACATGCTCCTCCTCCTGCTGTGGTCTGACTGGAACTGCTGACACCAGGGCCTCAGTCCCCTCTCTCTCTCCCCCTCACTCACTACCCTCTCAACTCTTTCCCACCCCTCACTTAACCCCCCTTCCCCCTCACATCCACCTCTGCTTTCCGTTGCCTCTTGCTAAGCCTGTTGGCACTGTTGTAAACAGTGATTTACAGCGCCTTAATCTTTCCGTTATATATATATATATATATATATTTATATATATTATATATATATATATATATATATATATTTTATATATATATATATATATATATATATATATATAATATATATATATAAATATATATATATATATATATATATTTATATATATATATTTATATTTTATATTATATAATATATATATATTTGAATATATATATATATATATATATATATATATATATATATATATATATATATATATACTATATACACTGAATACATATGTGGATAATGAAGACACAGATGACCCACATGGACGTCAGGAAGTATTACTTTAGCCTCAGGCTGGTTGGAAATTGGAATGACTTAGAAGAAGCAAAGGAAGAGGCAAAACTCAATACACAGCTTCAAGAGTTGATATGATAAGACCCAAGAGGCCAGAAGTCTGCGATACCAATCCAAATAGTTTAGGAGGTAGGAACCAGGAGCTGAGTCTCGACCTTCCCGCGACAAACTCAACTCGGCAAGTACAGATACTCCCACAGTTACCACAACTCGACCCTCAGTAAAATTCCCAGGGTAAACACACACAAAAATACTCTCTGAACCACGGAGTTACAAGCACATTTGCATAATCACAAAGGTCAATAATTT